TGTTTGGCGGGTCCGGGCTGGGGATTCGAACCCGCCACCTTAGGTGTACGTGGCTGGCGCCTTAGCCGGTTGAGCTATAGGCGCCGAGCCTCTTTTTAACTTCTTCAGAGTATCCCATGTTTACACGATCTTGTTAGTGAGCCTAACAACTTCACGGGCTAGGTAAAATTATTATCCTGATGTCACAGGTGAAGAAACTGAGATTTAGAAAGGGGAAGTGGCTTCAGGGGTTTAGCCACATCTCTGCAAAGGAAAAGCTAGGTGACCTCAGGCAAGCTCTTCCTTTCTGGGCCTCAGTTTCCTCACTTGTATAATAGGAATAGACTGACCTCTAAGGTACTTTCTGAAATAGACTTCCCTTTTTCCCATCAAGAGTGGCAGCAACAAGATGGGGTAAAGATAGTGCCCTGGGTTATGGGTCAGGCCATGGCAGGCAAGAGGCTGCATGAAGAGAGGGGGCCTGCCACCCAGTCCTGAGCAGCAAATGCCTTCTGTCCACACTGAGAAGGTGTTGGCACATTACACCAACATGCCTAGCAGGAAGGACGGCTGAAGGGCAGTTGAGACCTCAGCCTGTGGCATCTCAGTCCTGGAACACTGGCATGCACACCCTCTGGAAAAGTTGGCAGGCAGGGCCTCTAGCAAGGAGTGCGCCCTCAAAGAATGTATAATCCTAGGATACCTTAATTAACAGAGGTTCTTAACCTGTGGGTCTCAACCCCTTTGTAACAATGAAAATATATCACGGGGCGGTGCCTGTGGCTTAGTGGGTAAGGCGCCAGCCCCATATACCGTGGGTGGCAGGTTCGAACCCAGCCCAGACAGCTAAAACAGCAGTGGCAATTGCAACAAAAAATAGCTGAGCATTGTGGCTGGCGCCTATAGTCCCAGCTACTCAGGAGGCTGAGGCAAGAGAATCGCTTAAGCCCAAGAGTTTGAGGTTGTTGTGAGCTGTGACACCACTGCACTCTACCAAGGGCGACAGAGCGAGACTCAGTCTCAAAAAGGAAAATAGGCTCAGCGCCTATGGCTCAAGTGATTAAGGTGCCAGCCGCATACACCTAAGGTAGCGGGTTCGAATCCAGCCCAGGCCCGCCAAACAACAATGACGGCTGCAACGAAAAAATAGCTGGGCATAGTGGAAGGTGCCTGTGGTCCTAGCTACTTGGGAGGCTAAGGCAGGAGACTCACTTGAACCCAAGAGTTGGAGGTTGCTGTGAGCTGTGCGGCATTAGGAAGGTTGAGAACCACTGCCTTAAATAGCAGCCAGAAGCCACCCTGGGCTACCTAAAATGCAGACCTCTGGAATCAGCAGGATTCTAGCCATTTTTTTTTTTGAGACAAAGTCTCACTATATTGCCCTTGATAGACTGCCATGGTGTCTCAGCTCACAGCAACCTCCAACTCTTAGGCTTAGGCAATTCTCTTGCCTCAGCCTCCCAAGTAGCTGGGTCTACAGGTACCAGCCACAATGCCCAGCTATTTTTTGGTTGCAGTTGTTGTTGTTTAGCTGGTCTGGGCCGGGTTCAAACCCACCACCCTTGGTGCATATGGCTAGTGCTGTAACCACTGTGCTACAGGCGCCAAGCCAGGATTCTAGCCTTTGAGGGTTACCTAGGTTGAGGTTGATGATTTCCAATTAGCATTCTTTTTTTTGAGACTCAAAAAAAAAAGAGTCTCATTATGTCGCCCTCTGTAGAGTACTGTCACATCACAGCTCACAGCAACCTCAAACTATTAGGCTTAAGCAAGTCTCTTGCCTCAGTCTCCCAAGTAGCTAGGACTACAGGCACCCACCACAACGCCTGGCTATTTTTGTTGGTGTTTTTGCTAGCCTGGGCTGGGTTCAAACCCGCCACCCTCAGTGTATGTAGCTGGTGCCGTAACCACTGTACTAGGGGCACTAAGCCATATTTTTAAATTTTTTTTAAGACAGAGTCTCACTCTGTCATCCTACGTAGAGTGCCATGGCATCATAGCATACAGCAACCTCAAACTCCTGGACTTGAGCAAACCTCTTGCCTCAGCCTCCTGAGTAGGTGGGACTATAAGCATGTACCACCATGTCTGGTTAGTTTTTTCTATTTTTAGTAGAAACGGGTCTCCTTCTTGCTCAGGCTGGTCTGGAACTCCTGGACTCAAGCAATCCACCCACCTCAGATTCCCAGACTGCTAGGACTACAGGCGGGAGCCATTGCGCCCAGTCCACTGAGCCCTGCAAGATCATCCCTCCTGTGCTCGCTTCGGCAGCACATATACTAAAATTGGAATGATACAGAGAAGATTAGCATGGCCCATGTGCAAGGATGACATGCAAATTCGTGAAGCGGTCCATATTAAAAAAAAAAAAAAAAAGATCATCCCTCTTTCTCTCCCTCCCTCTCTCAAGGGTTGTTTACTTATCCATAAAATGGGTAGGTGATATTGAACATGGTGTCTAACTCGCTATGCACCCAACACACAGCAAAAGAGGGAGAAAGTGGCAGGAAGAGGAACTGACATGAACATAGACAGAGAGGATGGCACCTGAGGGTCACAGTCAGGAAGCATCTAGTACCTCTGGGACACTGGCCTGACACCCAGCTCGGGACAGTACTGACTTCACACCCAATGGCAGCACTTGGCAGGCCCTACAGCATCTCCACACAAGTTTTCCCAGTTAGTTCTCAAAATGACTCGGCAATATTGCCCCATTTTATAAATAAGGAAACTGAGGTAGAGAAGAAGGCAGGGTCCCATGCTGGACATTGCTGCATGTTTTCTCAGTTAATCGCCTGGCAGCTGTGGTTCTCTGAAGGCCTGTGAGCTCCCGAAGGACAGGAGCTGGGTGTATTTCATTCCCCACTGCATCCTTGGTATCCAGCACACAAAGTACAGAGTAGGTGCTCAGAAAATGCACGCCGGAGGAAGGAATCAGTAAACAACCCTGCAGGGAGGCATAACCTGCCCATTTCCCACAAGCAGGCAGAGGTTCGGAGAGACACTGGCTAGGTGGGACTGGCATGTGCCTGCCTGTTCCAGGCCAGCCCTGCCAGGGTGGACAAGGCCCTCACCTCTCTCGGCCGCTCCAGCTCTGTCTGCAGCACCTGCTTAGCCAGCTCAGCCTCGATGAGCCGCTGCCGAAGCTCCTCGTTCTCCTCTTCCAGCCGTGCTCGTTTCTTCTCCACCACTTCGAGTTCCTTGTGCAGTCGCATGGAGATGTCCTTGGAGACCTGGGTGGGAGTGGGAAGTAAGAAGGATGTGAGCAGGCTAAGCACAGCAGCCCTCACTGTGCAGCCCACTGACCTTAGCCACAGAACACCCTAGAGACAGGCAGATTCTTAGTTTTTCTCCCCCACTAAGCAGATGTGCGAACTGAGGCACCAAGAAGCCAAGAAACTCACCAAGGGTCACTCAGCCAGTAAGAAACAGAACCAAACGAAAACCCAGGCACCACACACTCCCAATGTCTATATCACAGCACAGCCCCAGAAAGTGGTGAGGGCCCCACCTATTCTCAGGAAAGCTTTTTCATTTACCTGGGGCTTTTTTTTTTTTTTTTGGAGACAGTCTCATTCTGTCACCCAGGTCTAAAGAATGCCATGGCCTCTGCATAATTCACAGCAACCTCATTCCTGGGATCAAGAGATCCTCCTGCCTCAGCCTCCCAAGTAGCTGGGACTACAGGTGCCTGCCACAACGTCCAGGTTTATTTTTCTATTTTTAGTATATACTGAGTCTTACTCTTACTCAGGTTTGTCGTGAACTCCTGAGCTCAAGGAATCCTCCTGCCTCAGCTTCTTAGAATGCTAGGATTACAGGCGTGAGCCACCGTGCCCAGCCTTACCTGGGGCTTTTAATGCTTCCCAAAGCCTCTCTCCCAGCCACCCTCTTGCCTAGTCGTCGCAAGAGCCTGTGGCAGGAGCAGAAACACATTTTTTTTTTGAGGCAGAGTCTCAAGCTGTCACCCTGGAGACAGTGCTGTGGTGTCATAGCTCACAGCAACCTCCAACTCTTGGGCTCAAATGATATTCTTGCCTCAGTTTTTCATTTTTAGTAGAGATGGAGGTCTCACTTTTGCTCGGGCTGGTCTCGAACTCTTGAGCTCAAGCAATCTACCCACGTTGGCCTCCCATAGTGGTAGGATTACAGGTATGAGACACCTCGCCCGGCCTCACAAACATCTTAAAGAGAAGGGAGTAAGCCAGGATGGAAACCCAGAGCGAGATGGGCAGCTCTGTGCCACCAAATCCCATCTCTGCCAGTGACCAGCATGAGATCCTGAGCAGGTCATTTCCCTGCTCTGTCTCAGTCTCCTTAACTATAAAATGTTTATAGGAATAACAGGACCACTCTCACAGGCCCAACAGGAGGAATGAACCAGCTACTGCACAAAAAGGCTTGGCCCAGGGCCTGCACATGACTGGCTAGAGGTCACAACGTGACGCTGAGATCTATTTCCAATTGTTTGAGATGTAGAACATGCCCAAAATGACAAAAGCTGGGCAGGTATCCAAGTCATCCCTAACGAAAGAAGCTAACAGAGCTGCAATCCTGGTTCCGGGACTCAGAAGCAGCAGCACCCCATTTCCGGAAGGACACACTCTGTCCTGTCCCCTGCTGGCAGCATGGGGGGGTGGAAGGCAGGAAAGGTGGCCCGTGGGAATAAGGAAGGATGGCCTTCAGAGCTGGGAAATTGCAAGCAGACTCCACCCCTGTGTGGGCTGGGCTTCTGTTTGGTGAACACCTACTGTGTTCATCTTCACCAGCCACATTCATCTTCACTCTCATCTTGTACCCCATTTTACTGACAAGGAAATTGGAGCTGAGAGCAGAATAAACTTGCTCAGGGTCACGCAAAGCCAGTGTGGACTGGGCTGGGCTAAGAGCCCTGGGGGTTTGGCTGAGGGGCCGAAGCTCCTCCAGGGGTGTGAGGATTTTGCCAGCAAGAACTCTGTGCAGGGCAGACAGCCCAGCGCCCTGTGCCTACTGGTCTCGGAAATGACCATGGTGCCGCCTCCCTGCCGGAAGGAAAGAGGGCCCTCCCTGGCTCTTGTCATCCGCCTGGGCCCAAGCCCAGCTCGGCACAGACCCCTTGGCAGTCTATTAGGGAGAACAGGAAAAACAACAACCAGAAGGAAACTGGCACTGCCTCCCCCTCCACCATAGCCTCCGAAGACCTCCAAGGACAGCCTCCAAGGATTGGCCCATGAGGCTGTGTTTGAAGCTCTCTAGGCTATCAGACTTCTTTTATCCCTAAAGTAAGGTGAGCAATCCCTCAATATCAGAACAAGGACTCTGTAGATAAGAAAACTAGAACCAAGCCTGGTTCTGACACTTGCTGACTACGTGACCTGGATGAGTTATTTAACCATTTGAAGTCTCAATATGATCAGCAATAAAGGGGGTTCATATAATTTACTCACAAAGACTGTTTTGAGGAATAAATGATCTAATGCTTGGGCTGATGGCTGAAACATAGCAGGTACTCAAAATGGTCAACAGTTTTTACGGCATTGTTAAGATGATTGGTTCGCCTCTGGGTACCTACTTTACACACATTGGACCAATCGCAGGGCTTCTGCTGGATCTGTTCAGCTTTTGGCTGTGGTTCCTACTTTGGTGCTATTAGGTCACCGAGTATACCCCTGCCCTAATCCACACTATATTCATTTATTCATTCATCCTGCCTGGCTTTGGGCCAGGAAAGGTGGGGTCCAGAGATCAAGGCCAGAGACCATGCCTGGGCTCATGGACATCTATGTGGCCCAGCAGCAGACAGGGCCTGCCACACTTGCTAAATGCTTAATAAGTGCTTATTGGATGAACAAACAAATCCAAGGGTCCAACAAGTGAAAAGGGAAGGAGATGAAGGAATGAATGACTGAATATAATTGGGGAGACCTCATCCACTATCCAGGGAGGTCTGTGGCCCTAAGTGGGCGAGGAAGCAAGCTGCTAGAGGCAAGGGTTCCTTTCTACCTGGGCAAATGCCCCATCCCCACCATGGCCTCCACCTGAGGAGGTGATGACTTAGTTCCCACCCAGAATCCACATGGGTTCCTAGATACTTTTAGGTTCATGAATGATCCTTTTGGTTCATTTCATCCTTTCCTATCCCCTCTGTTAGGCCCTAGTTTTTTGTGCCCCATTCTCTACAGAATCCCTTCCCCACTTAGTGCCTACCCCTGAGGGCTACTATTTCGAGAGAGCCCAACCCTGGGCAGCTTGCAGAATTTCAATATAAACAAAAAAAGCCCTTAATCTTAGAGCCCCAGAGTGCCCTGCACCCTGATGGAGGCCAATGGGAGCAATACGCTGGCCTAGGGGACAGAAGCTTTGTGGCCTAGAGCTTGTCCTTTTCCGTCCTCAAGCCCTCACAACCACTTAGTGGGCAGGGCCCCTCAGCCCTCACAGGGGACCTACAGAGGCAGCTGGCACTTCCCCAAGTACTTACCACACATTCTCGGCTGAGGAAAAACACTTTGATTATTATCCCCATTATGAGGCTAGAAAGGAAAGGTCACACAGCCAGGAGGCTACAGAACCAAAATTTGAACTCAGGTCGGTCAACCCTGAAGTCTTGCTCTTGACCTGACCCTGCTGTATCAGCTCAAAGCCTGAAGACACATTACATTAACATCAACAACGCAAGTGTTAGTAATGAGCCCCAACAGTGGGCTCACTGTGTCAGGCTCTTAAAGGGCCCCATCTGCCTGTCTCATTTGATCCTCTCAGCTACTCCCAAGGTAGGGGTGCTGAGATGCTAAGGGAGGCGAGGCAGCTGTGGCTTCCGGAAACCAGGGCAAATCCCCAAAGCACAAAACAAATGCACTCAGCCATGAGGTCACTGTTTACAGCACTGGGGCCTGGCTCCTGCCCAGCGTAACCAACAGCCTCCAGGCCCTGCTTCCCATGCATCAGGATCCTAAACCTCTGACTGCCGGGTATCCCTGTCAGTCTGATCCTCTGGGTGGGGGATGGTAACTCTCACCAAAGAGCACCCACTAGCCAGGCTGCATTCTGGACTCTGTGTGGCTGAATCCCCCCAAGAACCCCAGGAGGGCGAGAATATCACCCCCATTTTACAAATGAGGAAACTGAAGCTCAAAGAAGTGAGGGAACTTGCACAGGTCACCTAGGAATTAATCCCAAAGCAACATCTGTATCTAAGAAAGGAAACATGTCACTTATATGTCCTAGGCCTCCTCCAAGAGTCACTTCAGATGAGAATTTAGGTCCCGGAGGCCAGGAGTAGTGGCTTATGCCTGTAATCCTAGCACTCCGGGAGGGTGAGACGGGTTGACTGCTTGAACTCACCAGTTCGAGACTAGCCTAAGCAAAAGCAAGACCCCATCTCTACTAAATAGAAAAACTGAGGCAAGAGGATCACTTGAGCCCAAAGTGGAGGTCACTGTAAGCTATGACACCACAGCACTCTACCCAGGGCAACAGCTTGAGACTCTGTCTCAAAAACAAAAAACAAACAAAAAAGAGTTAGGTCCCAGACTCCCTGGAATTGACACCCTTCCATCAAGTTCCAGTTCCTGAGAGGGGCCTGGGAATCTGCATTGTGAATAACTCCTCCAAGTGATTCTTATCCACTCCAGGAGGCTAAGATTCTGGCCTACTCTTCCCTACCCCTGCCCCCAGCCACCTATTCTACACCTCCTAAGTTCTTCTCGAGCAATAACGAAACCACAACCAAACTGTGCATATTTGCTGGGTGAGCACCAGCTGCCAGACCTAGTGTTTTTTTTTTTTTGAG